AGTGACTGCTTCTAACTATAAGCAAGATAACTTTAATTTAAGCAAGATGACTACAAGATACTGAATTTAGACATGTGCAATTGCTTTGCTAGCTCATACAGCACATAATCTATAGCTTGCTTAGGCTCGCCTCTTTAATGTTTTACATTTGTCTAGTAAGTTTTATTTTTTTGTACGTGTAGAAGCATACGAAAACAAAAGTTTGACCAACGAATTGGAACGTCTAAAACGAGAGAAAAAGCAGAACGAAGGTAATGCTACTTAGAACTATGAGAGCCATATTAACTCTCTCTCTCCCTTCCTTTCTCCTTCCTTCTCTCTTTCTCTTTGTAGATAAATTGGAGGATGGTAAGAAAGAGATATCGGTATTGAAAGAGAAGCTGAAAGAACTCGAGAAAGAGCTAGCAGAGAAAGAGGAGGAGAACAAGAGCTTGACTGAAAACTTGAAAGGTACAAAATATCAAGCAAAGTATCGGTACTAGTTGTTAGATTTTAAATTTTTGCTCTACTATTATTGTTGGGGCAAGCCTGAGCTCGCCCCACTAAAGGCCTTTTCACACTTGTCCACTTTGGATCCAGATTTGCAACCTGCTAAAATAGAATCCTCTTTGGTTGTGTTCACACTAGGCTACTTTGAAAGAATTAAAAGTGAATTAAACTGCATTGGCTGCTACAGGTTATGAATATTTAATTAAGATCAATCCACCTCAAACCACCTCCGGATGTGGATTGACTGGATCTAGATTCAATCCTGATTCAAGACAAGTGTGAACAAGCCAATCCTGTTTTAATCCTGGATTTTATCTCAATTCTGGATCCAAAGTGGACAAGTGTGAAAAGGCCTTAAGGCGAGTAAGCGTTTGTTTGTTTGTTTGTACGGGCAGACCGTCTAACTATTATTAAAGTTAAATAGCCTAATCTTCATTGAAAGTGGGTGTTATCACAATGATAAAATGGCGGCTATAAGCAAGTCTGAGCTTATTTTGCAGGAAAAGGTCAGCTAGATAAGGCTAAACTGCTGTCTGAAACTTCTCTAGCAAGAATAAAAGTTGGGGGAGCAGATATACAGTCTTTTCCTTGGTATAAAGGATTCTGCTAAGGTGAATGCAAGTGAGAAAGCTGCATGTACTGTACTGCTAGCTGCATGCATCATGAGATCTATTCTAGGTGATGTTTCTTCTGTAGGAGCAAGCCTAGGTTAACAAAGCAGATATACAATCTTCAAATATGATTTGTTCAGTGACTGCTTCTAACTATAAGCAAGATAACTTTAATTTAAGCAAGATGACTACAAGATACTGAATTTAGACATGTGCAATTGCTTTGCTAGCTCATACAGCACATAATCTATAGCTTGCTTAGGCTCGCCTCTTTAATGTTTTACATTTGTCTAGTAAGTTTTATTTTTTTGTACGTGTAGAAGCATACGAAAACAAAAG